CAACCACAGACTCCCAGGCTGTTTGGCCCTGGGGAGAGTTGAGCTGTTGGATCTTGTTACACTGGGCAGGCAAGCCACTTTGACAAATGATGCATATTTGACGTGTCTGGCAGAGTTCCCAGCCAAAATGCCCCGGAGGGTTGGGGCTAATAATGTTGTTGATGGTAGGACATGTTTTACCACAGGCGTTTGACAATAAAGCCCCTCAAAGAGTTTGCAACACGTTGGCCAATCAGGACTTGCGAAATCTGTCAACCCTTTCCGATGGATTTCGTGCATTGTGACTGGCTAACGCGTTGCAAACTCTTGGTGGCGCACTATTGTGAAACGTCTGTACTCCTCACGGTAGCAGACACATTTGCCGATTGTTCCGTATTTCTACAGATTTGCAATAAATCCTTGGCATTTTTTTTCTTCCTGACAGGCACCAGCTGGTACAGATTCTGGAGAAGGGTTACGAGCCGCCCATCATGATCTTCGTCAACCAGAAGAAGGGATGCGACGTGCTGGCCAAGTCACTCGAGAAGATGGGAGTAAGTCACGCCCCTTTCTTTGCGCCGTTACCGATTTGGTACAGCCCTGTCGTGCCAGATCTGAGGGACTTGACAGTGGTGAACGCGCATTATTAAGGGTATTGTGTTGTGGCTGAATTCAGCCCAGCCCCATCAAGTCGAACAAATACCTCTTGAATAGTTGGCAGGAGACCATTGAATCATCACATTAAGGAATCAAGACATTTTGCTTAGCACAGCACACACTGAGGTACCCTCATCTTTGAAGATTAAATTGAAGACCGGTGGAATCTATAAGTGCGAATAAATACCGAATGTAATGTCCTTTTGAAAATGCAACATTGCCCTCATGAGTGGAAGTGCTTCTGAGTTACTCTCCACCGACGATGTTTAGCTTTTTGCACCGGGGCCACTGTTCACTGCTCCAAGTTGGCTGGGGAGGGTTTCAGTTATTCATTTCTTGGTTGTTTGTTTTGCCAACTCCTAGTACAATGCTGTCACCCTCCACGGAGGCAAGAGCCAGGAACAGCGAGAGTACGCCTTGGCCAGTCTCAAGACGGGCGTCAAGGACATCCTGGTGGCCACGGACGTGGCCGGTCGGGGTATCGACGTCCGCGACGTGTCCATCGTCATCAACTTTGACATGGCCAAGAACATTGAAGGTCAGTCTCCCCATTCTGTCTACTTGCATGTTGTTTTTTCGTGGAGTATTTTTGGGTAAGCAAGAATTCCTCAAGAGTGCCCTCGGCACTGTAGCTCGCAATCTTGAATCAACCTGTTGAGAGAAGACAGTGAGAAGCAGTGGACAGTTTTCAAGGTGGAAGGAAAAGCCCAGAAGACTGTTCTGAATCAGACTCAAACCCCCCCCCCCAAAATATGTCTTGTCCAGGGTTTCAGGTCGGGCAACGGAAGGGGCAAACTGGGGAGTTTCGTAAAAAGGATTCATTGGTAAACCTCACACCTTCCCCTTCAGAAAGTGATCGCAATGTTTCTAAAGTGTTGGGCACTTTCTATACCAAATTTGGCAATGTGTCCTGGGACAGGCAACTTTGACCCCCCCCTTGGCTTGCCACTCTCCCAGGCATCAGGCTATTTTTCCACCCCGTTCGCTCCCTTGCATGCCGTCACAGATTGATACTGGCACGGCTTGAAAATTTCCCTCACCGTTTTTGACTTCACAGCAGCCTGTATTCCACACCTTCATGTCCGATTTTTTTTTTTTTTTTAAATAAATTCCAGATTACACCCATCGCATCGGGCGTACGGGCCGCGCGGGCAAGACAGGCACGGCGATCACGTTCCTGACGCCGGACGACAGCGACGTCTACTACGACCTGAAGCAGCTGCTGCTGTCCAGCCCCGTCTCCTCCTGTCCCCCCGAGCTGGCCAGCCACCCCGATGCCCAGAACAAGCCGGGCACCGTCATGAACAGGAAGAAGCGACAGGAGGAGACCATCTTCGCCAACTGAGCAGGCTTGTGGTTTCAGTTTTGGGCGAGGGGTCGGTGGTGTTTTTTTTTCAAAATTGCCAGGTCAAACGCTGAATGACACAAAGTCGTCACTACCTTGTAGTTTTCCTTGTCCTCAGTATAAATTTGTAAGCAAATATCCCCAAACCAAGTAGATGTGGGTAATTTTGATATTTGACAATGCCTTTATTCCCCCCCCCCGTAATGGAAGAGTGGATTTCCCAAATGTGAAGTTGCCATTTTGGTTTTCCTTCAGAATCCCAACTTCCCCTGGTTCCCCGTAGTCAGTTTCAATAGCTTCGATATTATTAAATACAGTTGAATGTCGAGGGACACCAGTTACACTCTTGTTGTTCTTCAGTTATTCATACATGTGGCTGTCCGTTATCTGAGGGGATTTATCTCAACTTGGAATAAACCCTTCAATTGGAGTAACGCTGGCATTCCCTATTAAACGAACAAGTAAAAACATTTACACTTGTTTCTGATTCATACAATTTATTCAGTTTAGAACTGACAGTCTATGTAGTCCATCTCATATCCCTGTATTGGAAATTAGAGTATTTACACTAAAGGTACTTTTCCAAGAATTTCTAAAATTTTGGAAAGTTTCATTTTTGTCCACAGCTGAAAACAAATTGTTGAAGAAAAAGAAACAACTGGATAAGCTAAGAGAGTGGGAACATCACACAAAAGATCACTCCTCAAAAGTATGGACAATGGCATCAAATGTTCAAAGCAGGAAAAGGTTTCACATTTTCCAACACAAAGAAAGTGCATTGATATGATAAACTTACGGTTCATGTTTCTCTCTATAAAGCTGCTAATAAAATCTATTTTTACTAAATAAATTTCATAGGTATACATTTTTTTCATAATACAATTAAATTTGATATTTTGATTTCCTAGATCCAGTACTTTTTTCTCATAAATGCTCACCTCTTTAAATTGTATTAAACACGGAGACCAACATCTGCTAAATATGCGTTGGGTTTCACCCTTTTTCCCAAATCTTGGCCTCTTCTCAAAGCTGTGCACTCATTTTCAGACATTTACTGTCGGAGCCAAATAAATGTACTCAAAGCTCTGGCTTCCAGCCAGACAATGCCTCCAACTCGGGCCGGCTCAAAGCTCACAAAACCAACATTTGGACACCACCCCCCATTGTACCCACAGCAAAGAAAGTGGCACCACAGTGTACCATTAATTCAGGCATGCAATTTTTTCTCGGCTCAGCGGATTTCCTTGTTTTCCACTTCACGCTCATGCCGATGAAAATTGAAAAAAGCCGTACAAAGTCTTGTAAAGATTGGAATTTCCTTGTGTTTTGTCCAAGTCCAAGTTACATGCCTGTAGATTATAGCAAGGTCTTGCGACAGCATGATGGTATCTATGTGGTGTAACTTAATTACAGTGAGAGATTATTGCAGCTCCGCAGTGTTACATTAGAGACCCTGACCGGACGGGTTACACTCTGTCAACTTCCCCAAACAAGAAAATGTTGTAAAGAGTGAACGAGCACCAGTTGTAAAAGTTGTAAATACGTGCCCACTTAAACATGGTAATCCGGACGGAAAGATAGCTATGACAGTGGTGGTGTTGTTTTTCATTGTATTGGTGAAGAAAATGGTTCATTAATGTACATATTTGGTCATATTGTCATAAAACCTCCAATTTAAAGCATTCACACAGAATAACAGTATATTTATACAAACTACTTTAGTTCTATTACAGATCAATCACATTGCTTTAACGTAAGATGGTTACTTAACAAGGAATTGGTCTTTATTACCCATATCATGACTAAGGTGGCAGCTTCTCTTTGCATTAAAAAACAATTCATTTTGGGAGTTCAGTTCTGCCATGAGGATGCTCAGAGTAAAAAATATGCATCTGTGAGAGTGGCAGACAAATCTAGCGATTTGATGATGTCATAATATGGCTCTCGTTCCCCTGACCTTGCGGCCGTAAGAGGGGGCTTTATAGCTCAAGAACACAGAAAAGAAACAGGGGAAGTAAGGCTGCATCCGAATCGCTTGTCTAGAGCTAGGTCTACATGTAGGTCTTCGCTCCAATGGAAATGTGTGGAGACGCATAGACAATAGACCTAGCCGTAGCTCTGGAAGCCCGTTTCGGACACGGCCTGGGTAAGATGTCATTCTCAGCAAATGACCACGGCTGTCTGCCTGATAATCATCAGGACCTTACTCTGGTTCAAACTGGGAGGGCTCAATTTCATAATACGAGCTGGTGTTCATCAACACTGTCGATGGAAAAGCAATTACAGGTCACTCTCACTGTCCGACCTCGTTTAATTCACAGTTAGGGTGAGAGCAAAAACAGCACTCTCATATGCAGGCGTGTTCACCCCGAAATAATAAAACAGCGGTAAAATTGCAGAACTAGTGTGGACGGCAAAACAGGCTTCAATAATTTCTATCGGATGTTCCCTGCAACTTTTGTTTCAGTTTGCCCAATATGAAGGACTTCAACTCGTGCTTTTGACATCAGCAGCAATATTTTAGTTTTACCTACTAGATTGTTTTAAATATCACTAAATTTTATAAAAATTCAAATTGTGAATCACCAATGTGATTGATCTTTAATTCATAGATGCCACCGTCTCTTCAATCATGATTCCAACTTTTACAAGCTTCTTGAAATTCCATTCTTTGCAGATCATTAGCAGGATAAATTCATAAAATATATCAGGCACACTGAAGCACTCAAAGTAAAATTGTTCTTACAATTTGTATCAACATGGAGGCATGTACACGGTTTTAATGATAGAACTTTGAGCAGGTTCAATGCAATCTAACTGTATGTGTGTTCTGATCTCTCCACCACATATATTTTAACTTTCAGCTCAATAAAGGTCTATCTTTTTTCCTCAATTCTCTTGCTTAAAGTTCAGTTAACATACAACTTCAAAGAATGAATCAAAATTGTTGGCGTCAGTAATACCATCATTGCAAATTGCATCTTGCAGACTACTTAAACTAAAAAGCTAAAGCTGAAGTTAGTGTAAAAGCTAAGTCAGGCTTTCTACTTGGAAATGAAATTCACGGTGGTTAATTTGGAAGTGAAAATCAGCGGGTGTTAGAAGTGAAAGTCAAGATTTTCATTTTGGAAGTGACATTAAGGTTTTAATTTTGGATTTGACATTTATGCTTTTTACTTGGAAGGGAAATTTACAGTGGAGCCGTGAAAGGTACCTCATGATGAGCTCCAGCTTCAAACAAAGAAATATAAGGACTGGTGGGAATATGTCTCATCTTCCAATTCAGCTACCAAACACCCAACTTTTTTCTTTGGATTTCAAAGCAATTCCTTGCTCCTTCTCAGGTGCAGCATTGCTGTTGAAAAGCACTTTACAAAGTTACATGCAGCTTCGTTTCCCCATATTTGTGGACTTCCCAAGCATACAGGTAGCTCCTGTGTTCCTACCATCTTTAGGAGGCAACTTGTTGCTGCAAACCGCTCACAGTTGATATTTTGGAAGGGTTAGATAACAGCAACAAGCCAGATTACACAAAATTTCCATGAACTTGTTGAAGGTGCCCATAGCATGCACGGCCGGTGTTGAAGTATTGCAGACACATCCAGCAGATGTGCTTGCCACAACCCAGGCATGTCATGTGATGACATCCGGAGATTTTCTCAATGACATAGCCACAGTTGGGCACCGGGCACATCTTAGCATCGGCACCCGTCTCCTTGATCCACTCTTTGATGTCGTCAAAGGTCTTGCCTAGTTTCTGCGTGTTGGTAAGCAACATTGGGGAGACTTATTAATACACAGGAGTCCTGTTTTTCTAAGGCATCAGTGTTGAAGTTAATAAGTCTGTCACAAGGCCATCAATAGCAGTGGGGCAAATGACCCGTGGATTTCTTTGTTTAAAGTCCATTTAAATAGCCTGTGACTTGACATGGGTCTCAGCAACTTGTGACCGACTTCTCGTGATGGGCTAAAATACAAAACTACAATTGAGAGCTTCAATGATGGGTGAGAAAACTGAGCGTCTGACAGTGCACAAGTTGCTGAATCTTAAAATGGAATTCCTGAAAAAGTGAATCTTGTGGGGTTTTTGTCAGAAAGGCTCAGCTTCTTTCATCACTGATGTACCAAAATCAGGTCACAAGTAAATGTACAAAGCAAAACTTGTGTTCACTGTCCAGCATTCTTGAGGCCAAATTTACTACCTTGCTCAAGGTAACTATCCATCTTCAAACTTTTTGATTATAACGATGCCTAAAGACATTGACTGGTTGCAGGATTTTGAACCTGCAACCTCCACAATACCACGCTGGTGCTTTACCAACTGAGCTATCTCGCCCTTTGCTGGTGGCTCTTCCCATTGGTCAATATCTTTGTATCTCCAAACTTGTTGAAATTAATCTGCACAACCTAAGACTTATTTAAAAAAATGTTTTTTGGGGGGGGAACTAGTATTTCTTTTCAAAGAATGATTACCTTGAACTGCTCACAGGTTTGTCCAGGGTGAGGCTCAGCTGCACAAGATGAACACAGCCGAGCGCGGCACTCTGGACACACAAATGTCTGAGCGTCCTCCGTGTGCCTATAGATCATACAGCAGTCAGCCGTCGGGCAGAACTTGAGCTTGCCGTCACTTCGCTGCGCCACATGGGCCTCTAGGGCGAGCTGGTAGAGACGCAGGCGCTTGTCCTCCTCAGGGCACAAGATGCGGATGTCGCACAACAGCATGGCCTGGCCGCATCCCTCCGACGGACACTCTGCAAAGTAAACAGGATGTAGCAGTGCTGTGGGTGATTCAAAAGTCCATCATCCTGCAGTATCAGTCACAAGTGACAGGGTGAGTGATGACAAAGTTGCCCGGGTGTCACAGTTCAGTTGAATATCTTGTGACTTTGCTTGACATTTGATGACATAGTGGACTTCAAAGGGACTTGTGGTGGACTCCACGACAACACTGGACTTAACACACTTGACCGTATTCCACAAAACAAGTCTTAAGACCATTTTCAAAGCCATTGTTTTAAAAGCCACTGGCTCTTAAGCTTCCACCTTAGTTTTCTATTCTCCAGCAAGTTCTGGAAGTAAACTTTATGAAAGACAGAATCTTAGCCACAAATGGTGGCCCTCCATGTCAAAGGTTTCGTGGGGCCGGTATACTTAAACGATCACCATAACATTCGGTAGTGAAGGGTTAAATATCAATTGGGAGTGGTCTGCCGTGTTGATCAAATGTGTGGAAAACCTGCCACAAAGACCAAGAAAGCTGATCTTTGTTTAAAAGCTTCAAAGTGTCTTGGCACAATCCTGCCGCCAATACTCTTGACAACACAGCTGGCAATGCAACTGACGAGTGTGAACATACTTTCACACGTCATGTCATGAACACACTTCTGATTTGACCTGAATCATGAAGAAATCTTGCTATACAGATATGGCAATGGCTTGTACCTATTGGGTAATCTTTGCTGGAATCCTTGAGTCGGACTTTAAACATCTCGATCAGGCACTCCTGATGGAAGCCGTGAGCCTGAGAACAGGCGCTGAGACGGTAGACCTCGTCACTACTGTCGATCGAGGTGTAGCAAACACCGCACTCGATATCCTCACAGGGCTGCTGAGCTTCATTACTGAAAAAAAAAGGGTTCCGTCAATCATGAGCCTTAGGCAGTGTCCAAATTAAGTGGCTGTGGCTAGCACTAATGCATGCGTCTATGGGAAATGGGAGCAGCCACAAGCTAATGGTTTCTAAAAGCACAGCCACATTGCAAGTCATAGCCGAGCCACCTGGACACAGCCCTTACAGCTACATGTACATTGGTAGCATGGCTGAATCATCCTTGCTGTGTCGTCTGGCCCATCAAAGCAGCAACCATCACGGGTACTACCCTTTCCCCACAATCTTTCCATCCTAACAAAAAACCCAAGATATCAACTGCGGTTATGTGCTCGGAGATCATTTCCACCCCACTCACCTTCACGGGACATGAATTATGCCTCTCGTGTACAGCTCATCCATGTAATGGCCACTGTGAGATGGCATTCAAACCCCCCCCGTCACCAAGGGCCGCTCACTTCATCAATCAACAACAGGCTGGTAGTTTGACCGATATACGATGAATAATAACGATTAGCTCCGTGTCCTACTCAAACCACACTCTCTCCCAAGCAGATAATTTCAGAACTGGACTAGGATCAAGCAAAGTGATGGGCCAATTCCTGCACCGTAGTGTAATCCCTCAACACTGCGCACTGCAGTGTGGGTTCCCTTGATATGTACGTGGCATATTAACACGGGCAAGCAGCACATGCAATTCCCTGCGCTTGTCTTGTGACATAAAAAATCTGGGACATACGGACAAAAGCCTAGGCTAATAACACTGGGATCCTTCAGTTTAGATTGCTCTTGGAAGTCGTACATAAACAAATATAACCTTTTACACTGTTAACATTTGCTTGCGATAAGAAGACAACAAGCAAGAGAATTGGCAAGTGTAATCTGACCACCCTAACTTGCACAGGGTTCTTACACTGTAAACAACCTGGATGCGATTTCTCTACAAAAATGGAAAGGTGACAGTTCAGTGTGATTTTATTTGGTCGTGTGGATGTGATATTGGATAATCCCTACCAAAAGCACATCCGGATGAGTCACCCTTCCATGCAGGTTTATTCCATACTGGGAGTCCAGTATCACATATTGTATGAGCACTTTCCAAAGTCACATCCGGGTTGTGATTTCTGGCTCAGATGTGATTCCAGATGATGCCGGCCACTACTTCCATCATCACATCCACCCAAATACCTTTCCATTCTAGTAGGGAAAATTACATCCAGGCCATTCACAGTGTTAATGTGTCAAGTTCATGAATGACATTTTTTACCTGATGGCCTCTTCTAAGCCTGCCTCTTTGAGACAGTTGTAAACCATCCCATGGACTTTGTCAAACACCTTCTGGTTTCCCTCAATCAGGAGCACTCCAAGTTTGGTATTCATCACGATGCTAGCCCCACTTTTTTCTTGAAGATCCTGCAACAAAGGCCGAATGGATCAGCTTTTAGCTGAACTTCACAAGTTTCATGAACTGCCAGAAAAAACTTGCCAGTTTGTCAGTTGAGAGATTTGATAGCTTTATATTCCCTACCCTCTCGAGTAGCCTGCAAAAGTTATCCTTCCAAAGTCACAGAAAGCGCAATACATTAATCTCTACAGGGTGCTACAAGGGAACTCCCCAAGAAAACAACCTCAAAAGGGGGAAATGCATGCATATCTACATGTATAGGCATGGACAATTTCCCGACATTGCCCTGTTGCATCAAATGATTTCCCACTTCCTCCATTTTGTAGTTTTCTCATGGCCAATTAGTGCTTCATCGTTCTTGAACAAAATCCCAGTGGCACTTCTGACCTAAGATCGAAATTCAGGCCTTGAACAGCAACAACTACTGACTCTTCTTCCCTCACCTTAAGCCAAGGTCCGTAGGCTTTCACCAAGGCACGAATGGCCCTTCCTTTCGTGCAGTGAGGGGAAACGCTCGCTGTCAGGGGAATCTCTCTCAGCATCTGGTTGCAGACAATCTCGGTGTAGTCTCTAAATCGTCGTTTCAATCGCTCCCTGATTTGGTCCTTCCCAAAGAAGACAACGGCTTGCCTGCGGCCATCAACTGTGGCATAGGCATCCAAATCTTGAAGCAGGTGCCTATTTAGAGAACAATTACATCCCAATTAAAAAAATACAGGGTTTCTTACCTTTTCCACTGTGGAAACTGTTACTAATCATATCCTTTGACCTGCTGCTGGTAACTTGTCGCAGAAAACACAGATCTTGCTTCATCTTGGAGAAACCACTTTCAGAGGCAAAACTCAGAAAAGATGAGCTGTAGTTTAAGTCCTACCAAAATCTGAACAAGTAAAGCTCTGTAGTCTGAACTTACTGTAGTGCTTTTTGCAGCATCTCTAACAATTTTGTTTTCTTTTGGTAGGATGTCACTGAATGGTAGAGGTCAGACAGTGGCACTGTTTCTCCCTGAACATACACCAGAAGTGACCGTCTGACAGTCTGCACATCTTCAATCTTCCCGCTTGCGATGGATATCACCCAGTCACTTGTCTTCCTGCTCTTGTTAACTCTGATGCTCAGGCCTTCTTTCTCTGTCTTGGCAGTTTCCACAAGCCGCTGGATTTCCTCTTCAAGACAGCTGTAAACTTCAGGTCGGCAGAAGAGCATGCATGATGCTGTGATCTTGGCATGGTAGACTTGCCCGGCCGAGTTTCGTCGCGGGTTCTGCTGGAGCTCTGCCACGCGTGCATCCACCTGGCCTTCATTGTCCCCAGAGAAAGTGACAATCGCTTTTTGCATCTGAGTTTTCTCTGACCTGACAGGTAGAACATTCACATTCATGTCCTGCTGTTCCACTGCCCCATCAAACATGGTGTATATATCATTAGTTACTTCTTCCGGAGTTGGTATATGCCCTGTGGGTTCCTGTCGAGCAATGGAGCACCTCTTAAAAGGGATGGCTGTTTTTCTTTTGATGGCTCTCTCAAGGTCATCCTGTGTTGCATCTGGGTGTACATTCTTTATGAACACAGCTCTTGAATCCTTCTTCGTTGTGTTGCACAGCAAAATACGTCCTTTTAGATGCACACCAGTGACGGCCAGTCTTAAGTCCATAGCCTCCACAGTTGTTTCACAGTTGACAAACGCATGACCCTTGGAGGGCCAAGTGAACCAAGTGATGACCAATCTGGTGTTGACTCGTCTGATGTCAGGTCTCTGGAAGCCTCGGCCTTGCATTGGTCTAGCAGTTAGAGTGGTCTCTTCTGCAGCAACAGCTACATCCAGCCACTCCTTGGCATCTTGGGCAGCCTCAGGTGAAATGAAGGTCACACGGCCCCATTTGCCAGCCTTTGCCATCGGCGTCTGCGGTGGGAATCGGTACACATCGAGGATTTCCTGTCTGGAACAACCAGCAAAACGGATGATTCTTTCCACATCATCGTCGGTGGCATCATCCGGCATGTTGCTGATTTCCAGGGTTCTATAGTCTTTCGCCATCAGGATGAACTTTGTTTCTGCTCCGGCAACCACAACTTGTCTGACAACTCCAGAGTCACCAACTGGCACTTCAACCTGCTGCCGCTCAATCATCTTGCATTCATCATCGAGAAATCCCTTGACATGAGATGTGGCAAACGATGAGCACTGCTTGTTGACAAACATCTGCAAGTGCTTTGTACTTCGGTTGACTTCAATAATGCATGATGAGTCTTGCTCAGCTGTGATCTTTTCTTCGAGGGCGCGCAGTTTCTCGTTGCGTTTTACTGTCAGTTGTCTCATCAGTGCCGTGCCAAGTGGAATTGGAGACAGCTCAATCATGGCCATATCCTTGAGGGCTTTCAGATCGATCTCATGGTAGAACACTGGAGCCACTTCTTCCAGCCACGAGATTTCGACCTGAGTCACATTGAAGAGGAAGTCGCGTGAAGTACGCTTGAACTCCTCATACACCACCCAGGTTGGATTGATGCCTAGGGCCTTCAGTGCCGATGAGGGGTGAACATGGCCCGACTTCTGCTGGGGTAGAACTGTGTATCCTGCACGGTGGTGGCCATTGTAAAGACTCAGCGTCTGAAAGTAGCCAGCCATGATGACCTTCTGAAGGGTTTCACTCTTGGCTTTGTCTGGTATCTTCATCTTGCTGTAATCACTGTCAACCTTGTGCTCTTTCTTGAGTACCTGCCTTACTTCTTGCACCGTGTCCTTGACAGCATTTAAGGTCTTTGAATTCATGCTGTTCGCCATACACCAAGACTTCCGTTGCTTCTCTGGTTGGTCATTCCATTGACTGTAGGCAGTCAACATTGTGATGATATCACCACTTTTATGACAGAATTTAAGTTTCAGCTGGTCTGCTGTGTCTTTGTCTTTATCAGAACCTCCTCGGTAGAAGATGCTTCCAGGTGCAGAAATCAATGCTGCAAGAACAACAGCTTCTGTGACTAAACCTCTTTCTACCCCTTCAAGAACCAGCTTGGAAAGGCGTGGTTCTAACGGCAGTGTAGCCATCTTTTTTCCCAGTGGGGTCAGCTTGCTACTCTTGTCCACGGCACCCAAGAGCCTCAAGGTTATCATAGCTTGCCTCGTGGCCTCCTGATCTGGTGCTTCAATGAAGTCGAAGTTTGCCACATCCTCCACACCCAGCTCTAAGAGTTGTAGGGCCGCCATCCCCAGATGCACCCTCAGAATTTCAGGTTTCATTGTCTCCTCAAGCTCGCCATATTCCTCCTTGGTGTACAGCCTGTAACAGACCCCGGGTGCAGTTCGCCCCGCCCGCCCTGCCCGCTGCTGAGCTGATGCTTTGGTTATTGTGGTAACTTTCAGAAGGCTCATGCTGCGCTTCGGGTCATACTGACACTCCTTCACCACCCCTGTGTCAATGACGTATTTAATACCCTTGATGGTGACTGATGTCTCGGCGACGTTTGTGGCAAAGACAATCTTCCGCTGGTCTGGTCTTGTTTCTTTAAAGACCTTCATTTGGTCCTCTGGCTGAAGTCGTCCGTGCAGAGGTAGGATGAGCACCGGACCATCTTCGTTGGCAGCATTTTGGCCAAGAATTGTTGCAAGATCCCTGCATGCTCTCTCAATCTCGTTGACGGAGGTCAAAAACACGAGGATGTCCCCTGGGCCTTCTTTCTTATGCACCTGTACAAAAATCCAAATAAACAATTAAACATTACTCTGGTGAGGGTAAATTGTAAAAATTTAATCTTTTCCTGCACTGACAAAAGGAATTTATGGTGGGTGTCCAGAAACAAAGATTAGAGAGTAGGAATGTGCAGTTTTAAAATAGATCACGAGATAAAGTTTTAAAACAGACTTTTTATCGTTGTACTTATAAATAGAACACAGCTAATGAATTTACCACTTGAAAAAAAACATGCATAATAATTCAGTGTATCAAAGCTGTGATTAAACCTACCTAGCATAAAACTATTACACATTTTTAGTTTAAATTCAATCTTGATTCGAGGGAATTGGATTAACATGTTGCATTAGAAAGTAAGGGGGAAGTTATTATTTGATATGCCATATTACCTTGAATAAATAGGGAAACATTTGATTTTGTTTTTCTTCCCTCACCTTGGCAGCTTGCTCTATGGCCTTTTTTAGGTAGTCACCTTCGCCAATGCCGAGATTATCCCCACACCAGTGCTTGTCAACCGGGAAGGTGCGGCCTGGCACACTCAGTTGGGCACATCCACCAAAGTAGGTGGTAAATAAGTTGATGTCAATCGTAGCTGACATGACAATAAGATGGAGATCACGTCGCTTCATTAACAGCTTCTTTAAGGTTGCCAAGAGGATATCTGTGTCAACAGATCGCTCGTGAGCCTCGTCCACAATCACGCAGGAGTATTCCGATAGTTTGGGATCTGCCATGCATACATTGAGCAATTTTCGGTCTGTCATGAAAGTCACCACTGTGCTGGACTTATTAACGGACTTCTTGTTCCCCACCACGAAACCAACTTCCTCTCCCACCCGGCAGCCATACTCTTCAGCAACACGCTTAGCAAGAGTCAGAGCTGCCACCCGGCGTGGCTGCGTGCACACAACCCGCCACTGCTGCCCTCCCCCAGTGGCAGTGTCGCAGTCATCTTGATGACCCTGCAGTTCCATATCGACAATATATTGAGGAATCTGGGTGCTCTTCCCTGATCCAGTCTCCCCTTGTAAGACAAAGGCCATGTTCTCCTGGATCTTCCTCTGGATGTCAGATCGGTAGCCATAGACTGGCAGGGGGGATTCGGCACGGCGACATTCTCTCTCAAAGCGGTGGCGAATCTTCTGCACATCATGCAAAGCTATGACGTCTTTTACCTGCAAGTGTTTCACTCTAATATCCACGCTTCTGCATGCTCTTTTAAACTCCTCCAAGTACCTATCTTGTTCATTTAACTGATGTCTAAGTGCTTCGATTGAACTCTCACTATGTTCTAACTGAGCAAAGGACTGATTCTCTTCCAGAGTATCTTCAAGTTCTTTTATGTCTGCTTCGATTTTCTCAATTTTTTTTTCAATAGCACTTTGAATGTCCTTGACCTTCTCTGGCATTTCCTTCTCTTGGAATGTAGCAAGGGTTTTGCGGGCGATGGCTGGTTCCATCTGATCATGATTAACAGACAAACGCACTTCACAACGATGGTCATGTATGGATCTACCGTAAAGTTTTAGCACTGCCTCCATCGCGTGTTTCCTCTCTCTGAACGTAATGAAGCACTCACCAGTACCGGTTCTGGAAACCTTATTCTTTATTAGCCTAACATCGATGAAACCTTGGCAGTCCTCTTTTGTCAAGATGTCAGCAACATCAGTTTCAAAAATATCTCTTGGAAGATCAGTTATAACCACTTCGTTTGGATTTGACTCTCGTTTTTTAAGTGGCAAATTGATATTTCCAGATTTTACAGGCCTGGTGGGAGGTATGTTTTGTTTACTGTTCTGGTCACTTGTCTCGGGACCTGTTTGTCCTTCCAGCCACTTCTGTACATTTCTCTGGCTCTCATCATTGTCCACCGGAAGTTGGCTGAGTTGTTTTACCAAGGAATCTTGCCTTCTTGTAGAGGCTTGCCTTGGTCTGAAGAAACTGACCTTAAGTGGGGTATTGCCACCAAGCAACCACTCGTCTTGATCCAGAACTTTTTTAGCCTCGGCTGCCTTCTTGCAATCTGGGAAGTGAATGACAGCAAACTGTGCCTTGTTTTTAGTTTGACCAAACTCTGAACATTCACACTGCAAGTCAAAAGACCTTAGGAAGTCACAAAATTCCTCCTTGTCACAATCATTCCCGATATTTGTGATGTAGAGAGACAATGATTTTACATGATGCCTTCCTCCACGAGTAGAGCTGCTAAAACTCTTCCTTGATGCAGTGCTCATGGCTTCACTACTTTCAGAGAACCTGTCTGAGTCAGCATCATCTTTCCTTGGTCTGTTTCTAGATCTACTTCTCCCTCCCCCACCCCTGTTGCCTCCTCCACAGGGGTGCCGTGGAGGTCCTCCAGATGTACCTTTGATCAGACAATTGGGTCTATCTTCACCATCAGCTGTCGGAGGATAGTCATTTGTGTTGGATGCAACGGTAAAATTGGCACGAAGTTTTGGGCCACCAGGTACAATCCACTGTTTGTCAAGAAACTTTCTTGACTGTGCAGTGTCCCTGGTTGTAGCAAAATAAAGGACCGCCCATTTCTCCTGCTTCGGACTGGTGACAAATTCAAGCTTTATGTAAGGGATCTTTTTATCATGTAAGAACAGCCGAAAGCCTGCTTCCATTACATTTGGGTGGATGTTAGTCACCTCTATGGATGTTGTAAATGTGGATGCACTGGTGTTGCTTGCATCTAATACAGTGCTCTTCCTGTCTTCATCATCACCAACAGACCTACGTTCTCTTTGTCCATATCCACTTGGCTGTATAGGTACTTCCATCTGTGGGGGAATTTTACTGGGACCTCGCTGTCCACCATCCTGAGAATGTCTGCGACCATCAGATGATTTGAACCAGGTACCATCTGGTGGATTAGGTCGCTGCCAAGAAACCCCAATGTGTCCCCCCTTGGAGTATTTCCTGCTGCTGTCCTGTCTGTTGTACTTCTCATCTCTGTTGGTTGAGATTGAGGCAGGGCTTGTTTGAAGTGGCTGTGAAGAAGATGGTGCTCTACCTGGAACCTTCCCTGACTCCTTGCCATTCTTCTGTTTGGGTTGGACTAATTTAGCAACCAGTTTCTTGTTGGCAGCACCGACAGAGATGTTATTCAGGATTCGTTGAGAAGTGGCTGCTTCCTGTTTGCTTTCAAACTGAAGGAAAACTGAGCCTATCTGGGGTGGCGGTTTCCAAACCAAGCTCTGTGATTCTATTTTTAGCTGAGACAAAAGCTTCTCAAACTCCTCTTTCTTGATGCTGACATTGTTAACCTCAAGAGTGGCTGACGATGCTGCATCAAGACCACCGCCGATTGCTGGTATCTTTTTCAATGTCTTGTCCTTCTGCCTCCATTGCCGTGCCCTTGGCTGTCGTTTCTTGGGCTTGTCAGCTGCTTTCCTGGTGGGATTCTTTTGTTCAGTAGCAAGATCTTGCTGGGTTTCTGTTGTGTCAAGAATCTCAACCTTGATGAGATCCCCACCAGGACCCAAGGGGCACTTTGATAAAACACTGCAGGCACTTTGGGCAGTTTCCAATGACTCAAAGTGAAGAATTACTGTTTGAGTTTGCGGCAGGGTGTCTTTCTCTACAAAAAGCTCCTCCATCTCCTTTAAGCCTTGTATCTGCTCACTGACATAGCTTTTTAGCACTGACTGAGTCATCCCAGAGTTTAGTCCGCACACTTGCAGCATCGTGCTTTCTCCTCTTCCGTCTTCATCGTCTTCATCTTCACTGGCTTCTGTTCCTCCATCTTCGTCCCCGTCATCACCATCTTTGTCCTTCTTGTTGTCATCTTCCATCATCTTCTCTTTGTCTGACCCAGAGTCATTAGACGGGATGAACAACAAATCATCTAGTGTTGGGGAATGTAGACTATAATCCATCTTGGGTTGCGCCTCGGCTGTAATACAACAAGTGGTTTTTGTCCTCAAAAGTTTTCTATATGTTTTTTCTCCTGCTGATCATAAATGTCTTGAATAGGAGTATAAAATCCCAAGATTTTTTCAACACAGTAAAGCCCCTCTAGAAATTTAGGGAAACTTACGGATTTTTGGTAGTGATGCATTAAGGTTTTAAATCCATGGGGGGTGCAAACTTAGGAATTTCGAAGTGTCCTATCCGTAAAAGAACATGAATTCCCCCTAAAAACGAGGCTACTATTAATACCATTTCTAACATGTTGGTGTTTTCAGTTCCTATACCAAAAAAAATGGCNAACATGCCTCTATCTGGGGACAACTTGTCCCTTGCCCTTCCCCTTACAGGATACCTCACTGGATAACTAGAATTTGAAATTAAAGAATCATTTCGAGACAAAAAGGAAGTGGTTCTGAAGCATGGTGCAATAGGTTGAAATCGTACTTCAACTGGTGATCAAATATTTGATATTTGTGCATTTCAAGGACGGGAAACTCCCATGCTATTGTGAAACCCACTGAACAGCAATTTGTGCATGGAAATTCCTATGTACCAGTATGCATTGTAAATCTACATACAAAAATTTGGTGGATGTAGGAACCCAAATGCAAATCTTAAAATCACCCATTTTCCTGTCGGGGATAGTACATGTATGTCTAAATACTTATGAGACATATACTTAGAGCATTCTAGTAGCTTTGAGTATTGGGTGTTACAAGGTTGAACCCAGGGTATGAGGTTGAACACATCCACTGATATTAAATAAGACATTCACTTATTTCACAGATTTCAATGAGCCATTTCGATATTTGGGGCGCACAAGGAATTCTGGGATTGAATTTAAACAAAACCCACATGGCATAGCCAGCTGGCGTTTCGTGCATGGGAGTTGTGCAGAAGCTTGCGCGAAGATCGATCAGCCGTGCGAAGTACATGTAGTTGAACTAGTACCTAATTAAACCAGATTTTCAGCTTTTTGTGCTGATCTTTGTCTTACTTTTGATTAAGTTTTTTAACGACCCACTAAGTCAGTTTTGCTTGGATCACGGCTTGGACAAAAATGGGACTTTTATAAGATATTTACAAATGGATCGGCGTGCGTGTTCTGGTCCACGATGTACATGTGTGTTACTAGACTGCCGTTGAAATTTTCTCGCGCGTATTTTGTTACGCATTTTACCCGTAAACAGGGCCCAACGAATACTCTTTATAGGATGAAGGATCTTAATTATGATCTTGATAGGCTCATAATAACTCGGAGTCTATCTTGACATGCGGCTGGATGTGTATCAAGAAGAGGCCACAGATTCAACTTCTGTTGTCTAATCCCCTAATTTTCGGCCCAATGTTCAGTAAGCGAGCTTCAGGAAAGGAAAGAATTGAGCAATTTCGACATCCGAACACTTTTCACAGGGCGCGACGCCCCGATGATTTCTCATTGGGGGAATTCCCGGAACGGGCACTGTAAGATCTCTATTATACTGTCAGTATAATGAGATATATATATGCAACCATACGTATGAAGCCAAACCATATGTATGGGCGGCCAAAAGAATCAAAATTAACCCAAATGTAAAATTAACACTGGAGCCGATAACAAAAAATAGTTCACAGAAATTAATATTAAACATCAAGAAACGTTTTAAAAAAATTTCTTAAATAAATTGAGAAAGTATTAAAGAACTAAACTAACAGAATAAATGTAATTTACTTGAGTTGAGTTGATTATGGAACTTGAGTTGATTATGGTTCATTTAAAACAAACATGGTAGTACGCTTTAGTGCTTTGAAAATAACAGCAGTTAGTTTTCAAAAGTTTCCGCGGCTGCAGTGAATAGTTACATGTAATGTACACTGAACATCATGCCATTGACACGTACACTCACAATCATGACAATACTGTGTCATAATTATCGTACACTGAAGTAAAAATTGGGATCACATGATCCATGTACACTGTGAGTTATTGCAGTAAGTGCAGGGGGTTAAAAACATTGTTAGATGCCTTACACTTTTCAATCCTTACTCTCAGGACACCACTCACCCGTACATTTCATAATCATGTTTTCAAACCTTGTTTTTTAGATGTGTACATGTATGGGTTTCGAGTCAACTCGGACCCAAACCAACTCGGACCCATGCCAACTCGGACCCATGCCAACTCGGACCCACGACCAACTCGGACCCATGTCAACTCGGCCCCAATACTAACCCGGACCCACGACCAATTCGGACCCACAACCAACTCCGACCCAATACTAACTCGGACCCACGACCAACTCGGACCCACCCTGAGTCAACTCGGACCCAACCCAGGAGCGTGATTAACTTGTTGAACATTTTTATTTTGTCCACNTACATGCCTCTATCTGGGGACAACTTGTCCCTTGCCCTTCCCCTTACAGGATACCTCACTGGATAACTAGAATTTGAAGATTGTTCAGAAATTGTGGAATCATGTCGAGACAAAAAGGAAGTGGTTCTGAAGCATGGTGCAATAGGTTGAAATCGTACTTCAACTGGTGATCAAATATTTGATATTTGTGCATTCCAAGGACTGGAAACTCCCATGCTATAGTGAAACCCACTGATCAGCAATTTGTGCATGGAAATTCCTATGTACCAGTATGCATTGTAAAATCTACAAACAAAAATTTGGTGGATGTAGGAACCCAAATGCAAATCTTAAAAATCACCCATTTTCCTGTCGGGGATAGTACATGTGTGTCTAAATACTTATGAGACATATACTTAGAGCATTCTAGTAGCTTTGGGTATTGGGTGTTACAAGGTTGAACCCACAGTATGAGGTTGAACACATCCACTGAGATTAAATAAGACATTCACTTATTTTACTGATTTCAATAAGCCATTTCGATGTTCGGGGCGCACAAGGAATTCTGGGATTGAATTTAAACAAAACCCACATGGCATAGCCAGCTGGCGTTTCGTGCATGGGAGTTGTGCAGAAGCTTGCGCGAAGATCGATTAGCTGTGCGAAGTACATGTAGTTGAACTAGTACCTAATTAAACCAGATTTTCAGCTTTTTGTGCCGACCTTTGTCTTACCTTTGAGAAAGTTTTTTGAACAACCCACGAAGTCAGTTTTGCTTGGATCACGGCTTGGACAAAAATGGGACTTTTGTGAGATAATTACAAATGGATTGGCGTGCGTGTTCTGGTCCGCGATGTACATGTATGTTACTCGACTGCTGTTGAAATCATGACTCATAATTATCGTACACTGAAGTAAAAATTGGGATCACATGATCCATGTAATGATGTACACTGTGAGTTGATGCAGTAAGTGCAGGGGGTTAAAAACATCGTTACATGCCTTACACTTTTCAATCCTTACTCTCAGGACACCATTCACCACTACATTTCATAATCATGTTTTAAAACCTGGTTTTTTTAAGATGTGTACGTATATGTAGGCCTATGCCTACAAACTGAGCAAGGAGGAGATTACCTCTTCAACTCCTGGAAGTCTTGTTGCAAGAAGGTGTGAAATTCTTACCAGTTTTGATGGCAGAAGACAAACATAGGTAAGCAAGGTCCTAAAAGTGAGGATTGCGTTCGTTCGTTTGAATTATTCGAACAAAATATGTTGCATATTCATGCGAAAAGAACTACCGTTGCAACCCAGCAGTCATACGCAAAACTTACCCATGACGTGGCCGACTCGACGTCTATCTTGATTTGAAGCTGGATGTGTATCAAGAAGAGACCACAGATTCAACTTCTGTTGTCTAATCTACTAATTTTCTGCCAAATGTTCAGTAAGCAAGCTTCAGGAATGGAAAGAATTGAGCAATTTCGACGTTGAACCACTTGGCAAAGGGCGCGGCGCCCCGATGATTTCTCATTGGGGGAATTCCCGGGACGGGCACTGTACGATCTCTATTATACTGTCAGAACAATGAGATATATATATGCAACTACGTATGAAGCCAAACCATATATATGGGCGGCCAAACGAATCAAAATTAATCCAAAGTAAAATTAACACTGGAGCCGATAACAAAAAATAGTTCACAGAAATTAATATTAAACATCAAGAAACGTTTGAAAAAATTTCTAAAATAAATTGAGAAAGTAGTAAAGAACTAAACTAACAGAATAAATGTAATTTACAAACGTTTAACAAAAATCACTAGTAAAAAAGAAAATTTGACAACTACAAAACATATACATTGGACCCGGTATTTTTAACACGATTTGAGAGTACAGTGAACAATGGAAAAGTACAGAAACTTCCAAAACCAACGAACACACTAAGAAAAATGAATTTCAAAAGTTTCACACTGTGGTTGACAACAACATTTTTGTTTTAAAATGCACTTTTACTGCACAAGTATTCAAGAATAAGATAGTTCTATTTCTTATTGAGAGGAAAATATATTCTGTAGTCTTTTTGTGACTGAATGGAATGTTGGTGTTGTTTTATGAATTCTTTTATTTTGGAACATTTGGATGGCCATACTTTGTAGAAGCCTGACCCGCTCCACCACTCACTAGCACTTGCGACTTCAGTGACGTTCAACGCTAATTCCAAAAGATGGCGCTCTTCAATTTTGTGCTTGCTCGGCGCGAGATTTTGTTGCAAAGTACGTGGAGGCTAGTGCCCGGCTGTTGGCGGTGATTCGGTTTGAACGATTTATCAGCAGGTTTCAAAGCTTGATTTAGAAATAAAGATACAGTTATAATGTGTTATAATTAGCCTACTTTGTTACCGTCACGATCTCCTTTTTGGGCGGGGTAAAATTATTGAAAAATAAAAATAAGGCCTAGCTGCGGACGCCGGTAATAATTACATGTAGGCCTGTTACGCCCCAACTAGCATGAGTCCCAACAGTATAGTTGGGACAGTCCCCACTGTAGTGCTGCAGTTTGGCTGGCCCAACTAATGTTGACCAATGTCTGTGGGAAATGTCTCAACATTATCC